TGAATGAACAGATCCCAAGCATTTAGCTGAGAAGTTTAAAGGCACTGAGAGATTAAATTAACTTACAGTGACAATTTTAGCTATTAGGAGACATGAGTCTGGAACTAAAAGTCTTCTCATCCTTACTACATGCTTCCCATGACTACAAGTCAGCTTTTACAAAGTGATAAATTGGGAGTGATTATTTTCTGTGCAAATAATTCTTTATTTTGGGGATTTGACATCAATTACTTTTAAATTGCAAGCTATCCTAGTGCATTCAAAAATTAATTTGATTTAGCAAAATCCAAAGGTGGATTTCAGAGTATCCACAATTTGTCAGTAATGTATCTGTTGCACACAGCAAATGTGGCTAGATTCTGACTCTAGGTTTTCGCTGATGTGCATTCTGAGGATGACTCACTCCATCTGTGGACTTTGGGTGGGTTTGTTTTTCTTGTTTTCAAAGAAAAGAAGTTGAAAAATGACACAAAGGGGTCATGACTGATTTATTCTCAAATTTGTTCTCAAATCTGATTTGTTCTCAATTCGTGAGTGTTTATCCAAATAGCAAAGAAGTACAACTAAAGTCTGGAGCTCTCAAACTCAAATTATTTTCATTCCAGGACAATGACATTTCATCGTGATCCCAAACCATGCTTATAATACACACACAAAAACATTTAAAAGTCAGTGATTGTCTCTTACCTTCCAAAATCACTCTTAAAACTCAAAGTCAAGGCATTTGATTTCCAAGGACCCAGTCGTAGGAAACATAAAAATTGTCTAAAATTTTCTGGCCAAAAGTTTGTATTTATTGACACAAGATCTGTCACATCCAAGTCTGGTAAGTAAGGCTTTGTGGATGTTGTTCTAGTCTGGTGCATACGGCTCTGTGGTTGTTGTTATAGTTTGGATATGGTTCAAGTGGGTCCCCACCCAGGGATTTATGTGTTGGAAATTTGGTCCCCAATGTGGTGAGAGGTGCTGGGAACCTTAACAGTTGGCACCTAGTGAGAAGCAGTTAGGTCCTGGGTGGTGCTGTCCTGGGAAGAGATTAAAGAGGTCCTCATGGGACCCCGTGAGTTGTTATAAAAGAGCAAGACTGCTCTCCCTCCCTGGCTTCCTGTTTTACCATGTGAGCTCTCCCTGTTACACATACTACAGTGTGACACCATCTGCCATCTGGTGACCCAGCCAAGGGGACCCTCAGCAGAACCCAAATGGAGCCACCCAATCTTAGACTTTCAGTCTCTAAACCTGTGAACTAAATAAACATTATTCTATACCACCTAGATTTAATATTTTGTTATAGCAATGGGGGAACAAACTAATATAGAAGCATTGCTCATGAGATGGCACTGTGTGTGCACAAACCCCAAATCACGCCCTACCTTGACCCCTTCCCTTCAGAGGCGCTCCACTGACTGCAACATTCAGTCTTTTCCTTCCTCCACATCCTATACAGCACGGGGGAAGCAAGAAAGAATTTTGTTATGGCTGTTTGGCAAATCAAAATCTGATCTTTGTCGAGAAAAAGTGTAATGCCTGACACACCATCCTATTAATATTCGTAAATGAGCCAATGCACACAGTCCAGAGACGATGTGGCCAGATTCTGAGGTCCAACTACCTGGATTCTAATTCCAGCTCCATCCTTCCCAGCTATGTAAACTTGGGCAAGATACTTAACTTCTCTTTTCAGTTTTTATTTAATTCATATGTTATATGTTGGAATAACAATACTATATCCTTCATAAAATACATACAATGGTCCTCACACAAAGTCCTCAAAACTGTTATTACTATCATTGTTATTGAAATTCAGAATATTTGACCACTCTAGCTACCCAGAGATTCCAAGAATATATCTTATTTAGTCTCAGCCTCTCATGAGGAAAACTTCATTTTGTAAGACTTCACTTCTTTAGCTGGGGCCTAAGACAGTGGCCTTCTATAATAGGACAGAGCTTCAAGCACAAATGGAGGTGGGCAGCCATTTTACATCTCCACTGGGGACCAGGAGAAAGGCTTAGAGAACCACCCGGGCAGTTGGGTATAAAGTACTTAAAATCACTTCCTCATGTGGGGGGAGCGTGGGTCCCAAGGCTGAAACCTCAAGGAAAGCCATGATTCTTAAAGATTCTTAAAAAGTTGAGTAGGCTCTCCCTCAGATGAATAGGGACCAGGAAAACATCTCATGTTGAAACAACAGGGAGTTTTCACAGGTCAGTCAAGTTAAATTAAGCTGCTGTTGACCTTGCTCCAGAAATATTCTATTATCTAGGGATATAAATACACAAAAAGGATGAAAGTATGGGAAGCAGACTCCTCTACTTAGTGAGATTGTGATGGAAACATTTTAACGTGCTATTAGTCTTTGTTCAAAATAACTTTAAATCTCATTAAGAAGCCATTTCTGAAGGGCCTGAATGAGTGACAGCCTGGCCTAAGTGCTTTACGAGAGCAGGCAGGCGTTGAGGCCCCACGTAGGGGCAACCTCAGCTGAATACCTACGTCTTATAGCTGTTGCTTATAGATCATATGACTGCACTGCAATTTCCAGCCCAAGACAGAAAACCGAAGAGGGAAAAAGTCATTCTGCTATGGGGAAGTGGGGGGGGGGGGGGCGGGGTCAGAAAAGTCTTGTAAATAGAGAAGGGGATTACACACCTATTATACTTCTCAAGCAGAAGAACCGTTTGCCTGTTACCTCGGTAGATAATATCCCGATTTTAGCGTGGGAGAAGATGTAGTTTCTTTCTCTTCCTCTTGGATGCTCAGAGGAAGAAACCAAAATGAAAGCAGCTTTCTAGTGGGGAGTCGGGGAGAATCTGAAAGCTTTGATGTTGGGCGACCTGAAGCCTGAGTCAGGGCTGGAAAGGGAGTACATCTAGGTGACTGAGGAATCCAGGCCCATTCACAGTTTTATAGCCATGTAAGAGGATTAGAGGGCTGGGATGGGGAAATGTGATAAAGACACTTAAATGGAATTTAATGGTTTATTCTCCTTCAAATTACCGAACATTAAGTTTAAATGTTTTCATATAAATATTAAATTATATGTATATAGCAGAATCGCAATTTTGCATACTACCACTCAGTTTTGCAAGGGAAATGTAGCTTCTTTATTCCCCAGCACCGATCTATTTTTCCTTCAAGTTTGTACTCTACTGAGGAGCAGGAGAAAAAAACAAACTTAACAATAATGTTTCAGGCACTTCCCGTGTAAGGAGCATCCTTGGGTCATTCCTTTATTTATTTGTTTTGTTTTGTTTTGGTATCAGGAATCCAATTCACGACCTCAGGCTTGCCAAGCAGGTGCTGTGCCTCTGAGCTATATCCCCAGCCCCCATTCCTTTATTTAAAGAGAATCCTGTTTACTCTCTCCTCACAGATGGCTGGTGGACATAGGGCCTCTGAGCCACACAGTGTGCCCTATTCTTGCTCAGGTTGGTCAGGCCTGCATTTGACCTGTTGTTCTGAGGCCCCACTGGCCCCACCTGACCTCTAGGAAAGAGCACAATTATTGCTTTTTGGAGTCCACATGACACATGGCTCCAGGGAGCCAATGGCTCTGCCTCAAATCACAGACCTGATTATCCCCAAGACACACTGGACAAGTTGCCATGTCAAAGCCAGCTTCCTCCCAAGTCTGGAAGCTTCTCCCAGTACATGGACTACTAACTCCAGTACTTTCCCATCCTGCTTAATCCCCCAAGCCTCCACCTGTACTCAGTTTTTTTTTTTACTACAACTGGTTTTAGTCAGCTGAACTGTAGAATGAGGGTCACCTTTAGCAACACAGCTGATAACTAAAAACTTTGAGAGACCCCACTTCATTAGGCCCCTACTGGACCAACTTTCCTGACCAATGGGCAATGGGATTGGTTTTAGCCAAGCATATACAGATGAATGGGCATATTCTGACTTTGCCAGAATGAAAACTTTCAATTATGAATTAGCATGAATAGTACGAACCTCCTCCCTCTCTAGTACATAAAATAACCGCCCTTTTCCTCCTCACAAAATGTGCTCACTGCTGTGTATTGCTTTGCCTGGGAAGTAAATCAGCTGAGTGCTTCCCAAAAGTAAGCCTCACAGGAGGAGGATATGTGAGCTCAATGTCTGGGGTCTGTGTCTCCCTCTTTGGCCTTCGTGCTCCTCCTCTGCAGCGTCCCTTTTAAAAGCACAGCCCTTGCCCTGTGTCGTTGTTCCCAGGGACACTGCACCTCATGACTCAGCATTGCTGCCAGATGGGATGTAGGAGGAGAAGCAAGAAGGCCATATCTTAGAAGGACCTTTAAATTATTATTCCCACTATAAACTTAGATCAAAAATGAAAAATCCATGCTTAAATTCGGCAGGCATAAGGCGAAAGGTTTTACTTATTAGATTACACGCTAATAATTTAAAACATTTATAAAGTTGTTAGCATGCACCAGTCAATTTTCTAAGACCTTGATCATTCAATTCTTTCAATGTCCCTCTAAGATAGGTATTGTTGTTTTTATTTTTATCCTTCTGAGGTAACCTTGCCCAAGGTTACAAAGTTAGGCTGTGCAGGAGTGAGATCTAGGCCTAGACAGTCTGGCTCTTGTAAGACTCATCTCCTACTATCATAGTACTGCCACTGGGTGTCAGTACTAAAACCAAGAAAGAAAAGGCAACTGCATTTACTGAGGACCTGCTAGGTGCAAAACACTTATGCAAGCATTTTCTAATTTAAACTAAGAGGTGAAAAAACTTTTCAGGGAACAGAATATGCAGCATTTAGTTAGTGGAATGACAAGTTTGTGTCAGAGGAGCTTTTGTCTATGTTTTTTTTTTAACTGCAAAAAATGGTAGCACTAGAATAGACTTGGGAGTTAAGAGAACAGTCCCCAGGTTCCTCATTAACAAAGGGCTTTTTCCAGCTATTCACACCTGCTCACACAATAAAACCATTATTAGAATGACTTCAGGGAAGAGACCATCAATGTGTTTTTCTCCCTGTGCAAAAAATCAGCCAGAGACATGCATTTGCTATAAAATTATCCGGGTTTAATCGCTATCAACATCAGAACCATAGTACATTAAAGTACAAAACCTGTATGTACAATTACACATACAAAAAGTGTTCTTTGTGAGGAGCAATTTTCAGCAAATCTGACAAACAGCAAGAATCATTCCTATTTTTGGTTCGCAAGGAGAAATGGAAATTTCCAAGATATCCCCCTCCTCCCTCTGGCTCCTGTGACCCTCCAAACATCAATTTGCAAAGGCCTGAGGTAGAAAGGGAGGTATTAACAATACCAGGCACTCATTCCTCCCTCTTTACGGAAAGGGTGAATTTTTAGGAAATGTTTTCCACCATTTATTACACTGATGTTCCATCCATCTGCATCATTAGGTTCAGTAGTTACCATGACAATATGATGCCTACAGCAATCTAACTTGATAGCCAGATGCCATGATGTGAAAAAATAGGACCAGCTAAGAAAGTGAGAGAAATATAATTAATCTGAACCACATAGAAAATGTGCACAAACCGGGACCAGGAGAAAAATTGCTGAAATGTCATTGAAGAGGGAATCATAGAAGGGCAGCAATAAACGAGTTTCGGTATAAAAACTTTGCTAACCAGAGTCGTGTATTCGGTGATAAGCAAGACTGAAAAAGAAGTCAGAGTTGGTCTGGAATACTGCTCTGAGACCCTGTTACAGGCCTGGTGGCACCATCACTGACCCCAGCTGTAGGAATCTTAGGGCCCTAACTTTCTTGAGGCTCTCACGCCACCATCGTAAGTGCTGTTGTCATGACACTCTGCTCACTTCCAGGCTGCTACTGTTTCCCAAATTTTCCATCTAATGTAATAAATTCCATCATTCTGAAGTTAAGCTTCAGCCATGTCATGAGAGGTCCTATCCCTTGCCTTCCAGGTGTCAGTGGAGGCTGCAGACCTGTACAACCCTCTTTAGGGTCTGAATATGACAGAGCGGATGGGAGGTTGAGAAAAGGGGAACAATACAGAAACGCTGCTTCCAGGAGACAAGTCTGGGACAGGGGGTTGTTCTCAGCACGGCTGGGTTGGATAGCGGCGCTGAGCCAGGCGGTTTGGTGGATTCAGGCTGGTGGCCGTGGAGAGCTGGAAAAGAAGAGCAACTGCTGCACTAGAGAACAGCCCCCCGCATGACTCTGCCCCACAGTGACTAGTTGGCTTAAGCGAGGGCAAACCGAGCACCTCTAACGTGCTCCAGCTGCAGATGGCTTCCCAAGGTTGAGTTCTAAACATCAGCCTTCACCTCTTGACTATGCTGAAAAGAAATCTGACTTTCTATAGAAGGGAGGCCAAGTGAACTATCAGGAGGGCTAAGCCTGCCCCAAGTCACTGAGGAGCAGGGAGCCGGGCTTCTCTCCCAGTTTACAGTGAGCCCCAGGCCCCAGGACAGAGGAACTCTGCACTCCCACCATGGATACCACACCAGCTACATCTCTGGTATCTCAAGGCCTTTGAAAGGTCAAGACATATATTTATATCAGGCTCATTTACTGAGCGTGTTCTAGGTGCAAAGCACTGCACATACATATCTGTGAGGTAGCTATTAATAACCCACTTTACAAATGCAGAAACTGAGACTTACAGAGGTTAAGTTTTTGCCTAGGCACTCACATGCAGCAAGTGACAAACTGCAGTTATAAATCCAGCCTCCTCAGTAAAGCTCTGTGCTCCTGCCCCGGCCTGGAGTGCATCCTTACCTTAGGAACCTGAGATGGGTTGTAGAGAGGCACTGCCCCTCTCAAGGGGGGAGAGGGAGGCAGGACACCAGGGTTGGAGTAGACCTCAGAAGAAACACCCTGTGATGGAAATATAGAAAATCCAATCCATGCCTATTTCCTAGAATGTCCAGGTCTTCCCTAGGCATCAACTTTGGCCAAGAGAAGTACATGGGAAAGGTTTCTTATAAAACTCTGGAAATCTCCAGCAAACAGACGGCTCGAGTGGGCACAGTGAATACCCGGGCCTGGGGTGGCAAAGCAGAGGCTCAGCGCTGCCACACCTGAAGCAAGTGAGAAGGAAAAGCTGTAACACACCAGGTTGATACCATCATAAAAGGCAATACCAGACACTTTAGACACCCTAAAATATGACAAGAGCATTCAAACCAGGCTTCAAGAAGCGAAAATGCTTTCCTAGCAATAGGCATGAAACCCCTAGCTATGAGGGCAACTCGTGAAGAATTTATCCCAGCCCCAGTCAAGGGCACTAGTGAACTCCAGTCCCTCTGAGACAGGGGAAGAGGTGATCCTAAGGAAGCTATATGGGCCGAGCTGTGTGCCTCCAGAACTTCATCTGGTGAAGACCTGGCCTCCAGTATATTGGAATGTGATTGTATTTGAAGTCAGTATCATTAAACAGGTCATGTGGATGCCTAATCAGACATGGAGGGTGAACACAGACACACAGAGGAGACACGGTGTGAAGACACAGGGAGAAGATAGGTAAGCACAAGCCATTGGGAGAGGCCTCACAGGAAACTTTGATTTTACACTTCTAGTCCCTGGAACTGTGAGAAAATAAATTTCTATTGTTTAAGTCTACCAGTCTGTGGTACTTTGTCATAGCAGCCTGAGGAACTAATACTATAAACTAATATGGAAGCTTTATCCATATTCCCCATGAGGCAGCCGCATCTCCAGGCCCCACATTGACAACTCAGTCTTCACACACAAGCACCTGTGGGAGTCCCAGGCCCCAGTCCATAGGCTGCTCACCTCAAGCCCTGAGAACCCTCCAATCCCAGTGCTCTCAGCTGGGCCTCCACTGGGCAGAGATTCTGGGAGCTCATCACTACCTACAAGGCAATGAGTTAGAACAGCTTCCTCTGCTCAGCACTGAGCAGTATCCACACCGACAAGGTACCACCCAGCCCCAGGAGCACCAGGAGGACCACAGTTGACTGACCAAAGGACATGAGCTTATAGGTACCTGTGCCCCTGGAGAAAGTACCTGGAAGAGACAGGGACTCAAGAGGTAATGCTGGTGAGACGCTCTGGTTAGTCTGGAGGGGAGAAGATGCTACGGGCGACTTCTGCTTTGTAGAGGGGGAAAAAAAGGCAACATTAGGGACATTGGCAGTTACCAACTTCATGCCAACCTCTGGGTATTCCTACACCCATAATGCTGGTCCCCACCCACAACTGCCCCTGGGGTTCTCGCCCCAAAACACCATTTTCCTCCTGCCATTCCTCTGGTCAGTAATCCAAATTAGCTCTGTTCCTAGCCCTCTGCAGTTTAAATTTTTCATCCTAATTTTTAAGACCTTCATAATCTGCCCTCACACACAGAACAGATTTATTTCTCACAATCTCCCAACACAAAGCCTCTGTTTCATCCAGACTGGGGCAGAGCCTGGCACTACACTACACGGTGCTCAGGAAATTTCCTCACAAAGCTCCCGGGAAGGTGCTAGGCCCCGCCCACAGCGTTACCTGCGAGTCGCTGCAGTCTGATGAGGCTTCTTCAGACGGGCTACTGGACGGCTTCGACCTAAACCAGCTGAACCAACCAAATCCTGAGCTCTGAAGAGAAAGGGAAATTTGTTAGGCCTGTAGGTTTGTTTCTCCCCACTGAACATGAGATTAGCCTCTCCCAGTATGGGAGCAGGAAAACGGAGAGAGGAGGACACGACCCAAGTAGAGACTCCCAGTTCTGCTCCACCGCTTAGGGAAGGGATGGGAGGAAGGGGAAGAAAAGAACAAGGCCTCCACCTTTGTGTTGTCTTTCACATCTCCTGACTTTTCACTCTGTGCAGCATTTGAGGAGGGTTTTTTATCTACTTCGTCAGAGGACGCCTCCTCATCCTCCTGGACTGAGACGCTGGAATTTTCAGAGAAACTTCGTGCTCTGGGAGCCAGTGGCACCTGGAATTTTGAAGAGAACTAACATTCATGTAGCGCTTGACAGGTTACAAAGCACGTTCCTTCCACCTGACCACTCAGCAAAGCTGGGGGTACCCTTAGGGGATTATATCTTACTGAGGGGAAAGTAAGGCTTGGCCATAAAAAACCGACAGAGCCAGTCCCAAACGCAGACTTCAAGTTATCCCTAACCTTAGGAAGTTGCGTGTGCTATGCTTTCTCTCTGGAAACCATTTCCAGAACTATTCCAAGGCCTGGAGCCCAGGCATGTAACCTCTTGCTGGGGATGAAGAGGGCCTGGAAGAACCACCCAACACCACCCCCACCGAGAAAAAAACAGAATGCAGCAACCAGGGAAACTAGCTCATCTTAGAACTTACTTCCTGACAGACTCACTCAAGAGCAAGTGTGAACAGTGCCCTCCCCAGAGGACAGCAGAAAATGCCCACACCTCTCATATTAATTTTCCTTTACCATGGTACAATATGATTGCATAAAGCTTACTGCTACAGCCACTTTGAGGTGTGCGACTCGGTGGTGCTATGTATACTCAAAATATTGTACCGCCACCAGCACCTTCTACCTGCAGCACTTTTTCATCATCCCCAACAGAAGCTCTGTACTCCTCAAATATGAATGCCCCACTTCCCCTGCCCCTGCCCCTGGTCACAGCCATTCTGTTCTACTTCCTGGGCTTTCCAGTTTACCTCATCTCAGCATCTCGCACAAGTAGAATTGCTTAACATGTTGTCATTTTGTGTTACATTTACATTTTACACTCTCCATAAAGTATAATTGGCACAAATGCTGGCAAAAATACAGAAAAAGCTTTATTATTTTAATCTAATGAGCATGGCGATTATAAAATGCCAGGCACTGATCTAAGTATTTTCATATAGTGATGCCTTTTTAATCTCTACAAAAGATCTCTGAGACAGGTGTCATTATTATCATCTCATGTGACATACAGGACAGCCAAGCACAGAAATGTTAAAGCAACCTGTCTAAGGCCATACTGCTGGTGAGTGTTACTCAGTGAAAAAGTAAGCACATGAAAATATTAGTGTGTCCTCACCCACCTTACTCATTAGATCTGGCACTATGAGACTTCTGGCTCTCCCCTGAGGTCAAAATGATCATTAACAAATGTTTTGAATCAATTCAGAACATAGAGGTAGTGTGACAGTACAGCTTAAGAGCCTCACGAAGAGGCCTGCCAGAACTGCTTCAGAAAGTGACAAGAATGATGGGATAAGTAGTGTTCAAAGAGGAGGATTCCGAGGAGGACCGATGACAATATGTCTTTTACTGTAAAATATTTTTTTTATTTAAACATTCACCATATGTTTTGATCACACCATATGTATACATGGAAAGAACCAAAATATTTGGCTGTGGGACAATGAAGTTTGGTTCTTTTTAGGATACTTTATTTTTACATTTTTTATAACAATCATGTACTACCTTTTCCCGTAGAACAAGCAAAACAGTAAATCATAAAAGTTTTTAAAGACCTGAAGCTCCATCATTACTTGAAAAAGCTACATGATATAATTCCTCTAACCAGGCAAAGCCAAAGAACATCTTAAGTTTAGGATCAAAGCGGCCCATTTCTGAGGGAAGAGCTGCATTCCGTCAACAGCTAGGTGGAATGATGAATTCAACACGCGCACCTCCAACACCTCACAGCCTAACTGAGAGGAAAAGACAAGCAGCCCCTGCTGCAGCCGTATGAATCTTTCTTTGACATAAACCAAGACAAGATTAAAATAGGTAAACATCAAGAGTATTCTACAACCAGGCAGGGTGTGGGAACATTTGGTGCAACAGAAGGGGCTGCAGAGGGACAGAGGTCCGTGGAGCCAAAACTAAACCAGCTTTGTGCCTGCCTCCTTCCAAGGTCAGAGGCAGGCAGGACTGAGCATAAGAAGAGCACAGTCCCTTTCCCAACGCCCAGCATTTGGTGTGGAAAGAAGCAAGAAGACACAAAGCCCAGCGAGGAAGGGAGAGGAGCTTGCATGTGGCTAAGAAACCAGGGGCGGTTGGAAAACAGCCGAAGCACCTCAGAGTGGGCAGCAGCATCTTTTACGCCTCGTCCTCTCACCTGAAGTGTGGGAACGACACTCTGACCATCATAATGCTGGGAGGTTTCTTGAGACACTGTGTTCTCTCCTAAGGCACCAAACAGAAATAAAAACAGTAAACCTGGAAGTGTGTTTTCCCCGCCATCCAGAGGAAGGTTACTGGGGGCACAGTGGCGTTCCTAGCAAATCAGCAAAGCAGCAGGAGCTCAGAGCCCACGTCCCCCAGGGGGTCACAGTAAATGACTGCCTGGCTCCTTCCACTCCAGCCACCCTGGGACATGTTGCTCAACCTAAGTCTATGTCCCAAACATCAAGGTCACTCCTTAGGAATCTGGGGATTCAGAGCAACATGGATCTAGATCACGGGGATCCTCCACCTTCCCTTCCAGCTCGCCAAGGACCTCATCTTCGAAGGCCTAAGAGCTACTCCTCCTGCATGTTCCCACACTGCTCCCTCACATTCACCCTGGGCCGTCTAAGGTCTGATGGCCTGGAAGAAACGTGGGAACAGGACAGCAACATGATCCCTGCCACAGTTCCTGACTATAAACTCTTGGGTGCAAGACTGTTTCAGAAGGAAGATCAGGCCTGTGCCACAGTGCATATGAGACACGGGTCACATTTTCTTCATGTCTCTACCCTGTGGTTTGTCCCCTAGACACCGTGCAAGCCAAGGAGGGGGACGCGGTGGCCCCGTTTGCCCTACTTTTTAGGGTGCTGGCAAAGAACCAGTGCAGAGGCTGCCAAGGAGGAGGACCTCAGTGAAGAGCGGACCCTCCTCCATGTCTTTCCCCACCTCGGCCCTGCTGCCTACCCTGGGCAGGGCATCTCCCCACCTCCTCCTCTGTGCCAGGGTTCACTGCCAGGGCACCAGCCCACTGGCAGTCTTACCAGAGGCGGGGTGCATCTGCGGTGTCTCCTCCCAGGCCTTTCCTCCAGGAGCCCCCATCACTGCCGCACTGCCACCACCATCGTCACAAGCCCATGGAGGGTGGGTCTCAGGAACCGAGGAAAGAGGTGCTGGCGCCCCGGTGTGCCCTGTACCTCCTTCCACTGGGTAGGGGTCTGTAAGGGGAAGGGGCTGCTGTGGGCCAGGCTGGGTTGGGCCTATCTGCTCAGGAGTTAGCCTCAGGATTGAATGGGACCCCACAGCCTGACGTTCTGAAAGATCCTGGTAGAAAGAGTCTGAGGACAAAGGACAAAGAGGAAGAAATGAGTGCTGGGGATATAGCTCAGTGGCGTAAGCGCCTACCTGGCAAGCACGAGGTTGTGAGTTTGATTCCTGGTACCACAAAAAAAAAAAAAAGAGGAAGAAGTGAGACCTGAAACGTAGCATTTGGGGACTAATGGCCCCCAAAACATTCCTGCTCTTGTCCACTGCGAAAGCAGTCACGGGATCTGGCTGGCTGGCTGATGTGGCTCTCATTAACATAATGACAAGCAGAGATCAATTCCCAGTACCAGAGAGAGAGCAACAGAGAGAGACAGCTCAACAGAGACAGAGAGACAGAGAGAGACAGAAACAGAAAGAGATGGAGACAGAATGACAGAGACAGAGAAAGACAGAGAGAGATAGGGACAGAGAGAGGAGAAGGAGAAGAGGGAGGAGGAGGGAGGGAGGGGAGGGAGGACTGCAGGACCATAACCCCTCTCACCACGGTTTGCAGAAGTATTTCCCTCACTTCTTGTATGATCTCTGAGCCACTTAGCCTGAGAGTTCAGAAGGTAAAAATTACCATCCCATCTCCCATCTAACTCTCCACTTTTTAATGTTGGGGCAAGCGCTTCCTCCCTTAAGAAGTTCTTTATGGAGTTGAATATTTGAGACATAGAAAGCTTTCAGTTTGAAAAACAGAAATGTAGGCTTTTTGCAAATGGGAATAGGAACAAGAAAAGGAGCCGGGGAGGGGAGGGAAGGCGGGTGGAGGGAAGGGGACCGAAAGAACGAAGCTGTGCATGGACAGGCACCAACTCCCCACAGTGAATGTAACCACTGTGTGTTACAAACATGTACTAATAAAAAACAAAATTTTTAAAACCCAAATCAGACCTTAGAAATGATGGCTTTGCTTTTAAAGAGACAGAGCACATTTTCATCAGAAGGGACCTTGCTGCTAAGATAAAGCAAGTTGTGGATGGATGTGGGAAAGGATTGGCCCAAGGTCCCACCTGCTCCATGGAGCAGCAGCAGACAGGGCCATCCAGAGATCCCTCCGGCTCTCCTCACACAGCAGCACCACAGGCCCTGCTGCAGGACTGCAAGGCTAGGAACCCAAACCAAAGCCCTCCCTCGGTTCCCTTCCCCTTGCTCATCCCTGGAGGAAGTGCAGGAGGCTGGGGAATGGCCTGCGGGGAAGAGATGAGAGCCCTTGCCAAACTCCATCGTGGAATAACTTGGGGACAGAAGGCCTGCCCACCGGCCACCCACAGGCATCCTGGGGAAGGAGTAGGGATGCTGTGAAAACACACTGAAACATATTTCCGTCATAGTCATATGGCAAGTATCACTCGAAACTTCACAGCTTCCCGCGACTCCAACACTAACATACTATGTATGTAATCTGCGATTTCTGGCCTCAAGAAATTTATCCAGCTGGGAGCAAGGTACTAACAAGATGAATTAGTTAGCTAACAATGCAGTGCAACCTGTAAAACATTCAGGTGTTTAAAACCTGGACTGTGAGGCAGACTGTCAAAGCGGGGGATTCTGGAGCCTGGCAGGAGCTGTGGGGAGGAGGTTGCTGGACCAATGGATCAGTTGTACAAGGACAAAAGGCACCTGGAAAGGGAAGGGTGGGTGTTCCCTAAATTAGTTTACCTCCTTTAGTTCAATCATTTGGGTTTTTTTGGCGGGGGGGCTGTACCAGGAATCGAACTCACGACCTCACGCTTACCTGACAGGCGCTGTGCCACTGAGCTAGCTCAGTTTTGAGTGTCAGTTCATCATTTTGCATACCTGTTCTTCCTTTGGCTCCTGAAATATCTGAGTGAGCAGAACAAGGATCCCTGATGTCTTCCATTACCTTTTGCTATTCAAAATAAAGTAAAATCCTTTGAAGCAGCACAGAGAAAAACAAGGACTGGGAATGGGGTAGTTGAAGGATTACATCAACAAGAACCTTCCAGAGGAAGTGACAAGGTAAGGGAACCTCGGCCGACTGCTCCCAACCGGGGTCGCACACAAGGGTCCCACGTTCCCAGGTCTGCTGTGAACAGGTAGACAACCACAGCGCCATTCATCGTCCCCAGAGCAAGGGGCAAATGGCAAGGACTAAACTGGCCTCAGAGTCTGCAGCAGAGAGAGGAAGAAAAGGCCAGGTGTGCTCTTAAAACCCTACTTCATCCTTTCTTCAGAGTGGAAGAAAGGAGATGGGGGAGGCCCTGCCCCAATTACTGTTCTGATTATGGCCAGCAGCTTTTGCAGTTGTCAGAACCAAAAAGAAAAGCCCGGAAGTCTTTTAAGCAATTGCCCCACATTACATGAAAGTGACACAGCTCCACTGTGATCCATTGTCCCTCACAGAGACAGGGAACTTTGATGGTCAGAAAGCGCATTCTCTGGGATTTCAGGGAAGGGTGACAAGAATGCTTAGAACGAACGACCCTCCCCTCCCTGCCAGGTCACATGCAAACAGGAAAGGGGTTGCACAGTGGAGAGAGGGGGCAGAGGGAAGCTCAGAGTCCCGCCCATCCCAGACACAGCCTGTGTGTCAGGGGTGACCGGAGATCTCACAGTGACGTGAGCGGCCTGGACTTGCTATGCCTATTTTATGTCTAGGGCAGTGAGGGAGACACAGGCCCCGCCCACTCACCCCCAGCTCTGCCCCACTCACCTCAAGCTCCTGCTGCAGCCTCCGCAGTTGTGCTAGCCAATCTGGCTCCAGGTCCCTGTCCCCACGGCGCCTTTCTAAAACCAGCGGGTCTGACAGCTTCAGTTTCTCTGCGAGCTGGGCCGGGTTCCCAGACAAGTCAGGAACACAAAGTAAGAGGGGCAAGAAGAGAGAGAGTAACCCCGAGACGGGGAAGGAAGTGGGGAAGGGGAGATACAGGGGGGAAAACGAGGAAGATTAAATTATAAAAGTCATCAAGAAACAGCAAATTCAGCAGCCAGCCTCCCAAAATTGCTAGATAAATAAACAATTAACTCATTTTGGTGTTAAATGCTAAACAAAACACAGAAGAAGTGGTGTCTAGGCTTCCTTCCCTTTACAAAGTCCTCTCCCTAATAAGGCTTCTCAAATTTTGGCCTACCTAGGAATCACCCAGGACCTTATTCAGAATGCTAATTCTCATTCCACTGGTGTGGGTAGGTCCTGAAATCTGCATTTCTAACAAGTTCCCAGGTAAGACTGATGCTACTTTGTATTCTGATCTGGATTTGATCTTTACTCCAGTATTGTATCCCAAAACCTTCTAGACCCTTCACCCTGGGGCTCTGAGCTCCTTAGAACCATCACCATATTGCAGGAAATTTCAGAGTATGAGGGCTCAGCACCACCAATTTTATTGGTTGCAGAACTCAACACGAGGGCCCCATCTAAAGCAAAACAAAAATTTAAGGGTAGGCTGCCTTCCGACTCTCTAGCTAATGGATTTTTCTTCAATTAATTGGAACAACTATTTGCCTGATTGCTGTTTCTTCCCCAGGAACTAAGGGATGATATGTTTTTTGTTTTCTTTTTTAAATGTATCCCACATGTGATAAAATATTCCATGCATTTAAAAGCATTTTAATAAGGATCATTTCCTATTTTAATCACTAAAATATGTTTTCTAAGCCTGGCTTTTGTAATTAGAACAGCTCACCATAGCACACGGTTTTACTGTACCAGAAAAGCAGATGCAAGAATGAATTTCCCCGAGTAGCACATGCCGGGCTTCCAGTCCCTCCTCCCCACCACCCCCACCCAGCACATCAGGCTTGTGCGCAGGTTGGGCTTCTGCTTATCACATCCGGGCACGCGTACGTGGTCAAAGACAGCCGTGGGCACGTTTTTCAGCGTGCTCAAAGAAGATGAAATGTGGAGTCTCAGCTGTTCTACCACAGCTTTCTCTGAGCACTGAAGATAAAACACCTGCAAAGAACCTTTGAGACGCTCACCTTGATGAGCTCCACTAATAGCACAGGGTGACTGCTCTGTCCCTGGCTCAGGACAGCTGCACCAATGGCCTCGCAGTAATGCAAGGCCTGGGATGCCAGGCCATAATCTGCCAAACGGGAAGCATAAAGGAGCTTATACACCTGTGAAGAAGAACAGGCCCAGTGACAAGTCCACCCAACCAGGGATAAAAACAGAGAGAAGGAACGTAGATAAAACCTCTTGGAAATCAGCTGACTACCAGCTTCTGCTAACTCCGACTTCCAAATATCAAGGGCCCTGTGCCATTTGGGATATTTGCTCTATGCATAGTACAACTCCAGATCCAGCCTGCAGCTTCTGCCTTACAGAGAAAAAAGCAGGGGTGGCTCACATCGGCTTACTGTGCCCTCCCAGGCCCTGGTCCCCACAGAAAGGCACTGGAGAGCCTCTTACCAGCAGCCCCCATCCCCAGAGAGACCGGTGTATGTGGAGCACAGAACCAGGGCACACATGAAAAAGCAAAAAGAGGCCTGGTACAAGGGGCTTTCGGCCCAGTGGTGAAGGTAGACAAATGCAGGAAACAAGTAAGCATGCGTGGAAGCAGGGCGGACACGGTGAGGTCAGCACGAGGGCTGGGACGCCAGACAGACCCAATCGAATCCAAGCGCCACGCAAACTGTGGCCCACTGGGTACCTCCCTCCCCTCTCTGCGCCTCAGTTTCCTCACTGCAGCCTGGGAACGATAACACCACCTCCCCAGTGGGTGTTGGAAGATTAAATAAGATCATCCACATAAAGCACCTAGAACAAACGTTATGCAGAAGCGAGCGGATAGTGCGCAACCCCTTGAGCCTGTCTCCTCTTTTATAAAGGGGCGTGCGGTGGGTAATCGTGCCTGCTCCACAGAATTAAAACTAATGCACAAGAACTATGGTGCACAATCCCGGCATGGAGAGCACAGTCAATAAAACTGGCTAATGTCTTTACTACCGGCCCACAGCAAGGTGAAGGTAAGAGAGAGGTGGGTGATTAGAGCAGAGAAAGGAGAGGAAAGTGTCTGCAGAGCGGCCACAAGGGGGCGCTAACTTGCTGGACGGATGGGTCTTTGGCAAAACATAAGGATGATGGCAGATAGGTCATCTCTTCACAACACAGTACTTCGTCTCCGAGGTTGTCTCTGTGTGTGTGTGTTGTAGGTTTGTGTGTTGTTAGTATTGCTCTGTGCACTCTCACTACTGCACACTAAAGGAAATACAAAGCACCACCTGGGAAGGCCTCAGCCTTCAGAAGACAATTTCTGCCCAGGTCAGGCTCCTACACACAATGAGGGAAGAAAACGCAGGGCCAAGTGGGTTAAATGTCAGAGCGGGCTTTGGAGCCGGCCCTGTGGCAATGATCTCCCCACTATATGCCGGGCACTGTCCCAGTGTGTGACGGAAATGAACTAGGTTGACCTCGTGCCAGTTTCATTGCACAGCCAGCCCCCCAAACTCCACCTCAGAGTGAGACCACCGGGCCGCCAGGCCAGGCCCGCCAGCAGGAGCAGATAGAAGAGGCTTCACGGTGCTGGGTCTCGGCCCACATGGGAGACGGGATAGGAGGATGACGACAGGTCAGCATCCGTCATCGGGAATTTAAGGTGACAGCAGCGCGCTAAGCAGAGACGTTGAGAAGAGAGGACAGACCTGCAGCTTGGATGCTATTTACAAAGTGAACCCTGAGAGGCAAGAAAAGAAGTTGAAGGCCAAGGACAGCAAGGAGGAGGTGGGGGCCCCCCAGCCCCAGGCAGGGCGGCTGTGAGAGGGCGGCAGGGACTGGTGCTGCTGGCAAGAAGCGTGAGGGGACTGAGGATGGAGGACCCAGGACTGCAAGCGATCTGCACATGGCAGGAACGAGGCAGGAGCCTCCAGCACAGAGGCCTCTGCAAGACTTTGCTTTCGTATTGTGAAATACAGACCTTTAGGGGACATAAAAAGAAATCCTAAACCTTCCCGCTCTCACACTAATGAGGAAAAATGCAGCAGATGACTTAGCCCCAGGTACTACGTGCCAAAAAGCAAAGCTGAAAACCAGGCTGCGCACAGCCGGCTGACACGGCTCAGCAGAGAGCCATGCCTGGGCTCTGTTACCTGGAAAGAAGGAATGAAAGATTTGGGGCGGCCCAGCATCTGGCAGTACTCGAAGATTTCCGTCCTCTGGAGAGCCTCAGTGGTTGCGAATTTCAAGAACTCTTGACTGCAACAAGGAATAAGAACACAGAGATTAGGGTGGGGTGGGATGGGTCCTAGGGGTGGGCAGGTGCCACGGGCTCCGTCTCGGGCTGGTCCTGGCGGCTCCGAGACAGGAAAGCGACTCCAGCCCCAGCATGGGCGTGGGGCCTCTTCTCCCTCCACCACCTTGAGCCTGGGTTAGGAGCAACACAGAGCTCTGCACCGGGCCTGGGAGGTAGAGACACAGGGAGGGGACCTCCGGTCACCTTGCCAGAGGGTGGAACCCCAGGATCTCCCCTCAAGCACACTGACAGTTGGCCTTTGAGCCCTAAAGCCCGGTGTGTTGCAAGAACTCCAGGCCAGCCCAAGCATGCTAGCACAGAAGAGTGGCCATGTGGCCCTTCTGGGTCACGGAGGAGAAAAGGCCAGACGGAAAACAGAGGGAGAGCTGCGCAGAAAACAAGCGGCAGTACTTGGGTTAGGTGTTCAGTCAGCCAGCGAAGAAGCAGGCTGGGTGAATGTGATCCAAGGGCCTCCAGAGTCCCACAGGACCTTGCCAAGGTGTCCAAAGTCACAGTCACTAGAGTATTCCTGGGAGACAGGACATGACCTCCAGCAATTTCCTCATGTGTCACGAACATACGAGGGGAAACGTATTGTCCCTAACACTCTTGTCCACTTGGCCCAGATGGGCCTGGCCGATATGCTAACTGCACACACACCCCGACTGCTGCAGAGAACAGGCGAGGGGATGGGGGGGGCGCAGCAGTGGTCGGCAGCCGGGGCCACAGTGACAAACAGGCACACAGGCTGCGCTACCTCAGCCGAGCCTCTCAGCCTCTATGCTCTGGGACCCCTCCTCCCTAAGTGAGGGTTGGAAATATACCTTCTTCGTTGAGGGAATCATGCAAGCAAGTGGCCAGTGCCATATAAGACCTGTAACCTGTAACTGTTAATGGGAAGGGGATAGAGAGATCCAGAACAGAGAGGACCCGTGAGGGAGCTGTTTATCTGCTCCTCCATTCTCTATTCCTGCTCCAAGCGCTTAGGTGGTTCTCACGGGCGAAAAGCCTGATGTCATGACCAGCAGGGAGTAAGTGACCACAGAGGCTCTGAGGATCCTATACACAGTCGCTGCAGGGGGACTAAATGTAAACTCCTTCCACTCTCCACTTTGCCCAGGCGGGCTCCCAAAACAGGCCCTGGGCTGCCTAATCGAACTGGAACCTCCACGCACAAAAATTTTTTTTTGGAGATGTCTGGTTGTGGAGCCAGGCTGCCACCCCGTGGCCAGAAGGGAACACTACAATCCAAAGGTACCAGCTGGCAACTTCCTGGAGCAGGACGTGAGCCTGAGGCCTCCTGCCCTTATCATTTTGCCCACAGCAGCCCAGGAAAATAATCTGAAGGGAACCTGCAGTAGCTGAAATCTACAGAAAATGAAAAAATCTCTCCATGAATGCAGCAAGGGCTAAAAGAATTCCATGGGAAACACCCTTGCCATTTCCTCCCCGCAGAAGGTCACGTACCTGTGGCTACTGCCCAACAAGACCAGAAGGTCTGTCTTCACAGTGTAGTGGCCGAAGGGCACACGAGCCATGAGATAGCAGAAGTGGGCTGCCTCCACATACCCCTTCGCAGCTGCGGGAAGAGCAGAACAAGACCCAGTCATGGAGCCCACCCATGGCGTCCCACTGCCTACGTGCAACAGAGAGAGATGAAAGAGTGGATGTAGGGGTGAGAGGGGAGAAGCCTTGTGAGGCTAAATCAATGAACTTCTCAGGTCATGAGTCACAGATCCCCCAGCCCAGACCCCTCCCCTACCAGCAAGCTTGACCTCAGATATTGCATTTCATTTCTCTCCAAGCAGAATAAGGCACTATTTCACATTCCCCCTGACGGATTTTTCATTAGGCATTTTCTAAACATTTCAGTCTTTCCTCGGGATGAGAATGGACTAGAGATGCCCACAGCTGAGCACAGACACGGGCTGCTGAGAGTAGCAATTCCCGAACTAGGCTTCTGGAGGCACAATCGCAGCTCCTGCTAACATCAAGTAATACAGGGCTTTCCCAGCCCTCATAAAAATCACCTTAATTACCAAATTGTTCTCCGTTTTCAAGTGTTCTCCTGTACATTTTTATTGCCTCAAAATTAATTCAAGTAGGTAAAATACCTAGCACAGTGCCTGGCACCCAAGCAGGGCCCAAAAAAACATTGGTCCCCTTTGGTCGAGAGTGCTGAGCGAGCTGCTATCCCCCGGCACAACCTTACACACAGCTGTCCCAAGTTTCACAGAGCCCCGTTTCTCAAAGGTCCACAAGGAACACCGAGATTCCTAGATCTTCTTCCCCTTGACCAAGCTTGGGATGCACTGATCTTCTGTCCCTTGACCAAGCCTGAGATGCACTGATCTGGAACACTCAGTAGCCCCTAAATGCTTGTAAGGCTGCACTCACAGAGAGGATAGAAGTAGACTACAGAATTACTAGGGTAGTTCAGGCAAAAATGGAATCTCCTGGCTGACTGGGCCAGGTCCCTGAAGCATTAACGGCCACAGGAGGTGAGGTGTCCCCTGCGTTAATGCCATGTAAAGAGAGTATCACCCAGGGGTAGAACATCAGCTGCTAGGAGGTGGCTCTGTAGCACAGAACACCGTCTCGGGTGCGGCCTGCACGGCTTGCAGTGGGAACTCTAAGAGACAACACAAGCAGCGCACTCCTTCCCCTGGAATTTCTTATATCAAAACATGGAGGGTCCTGGTCCTGGAAAGGCCTGAGCATAGACTCCGGCCCTGCCCAGACTCTGAAAATCTAAGGACAGGTGTGTAAAGCTGGCCGGGAGATGCCCTAGAGAAGGGGGGCAGTGACAGTGCAGGCTTACCCAGCGTGTCCCCCATGGTGACCACTGCACGCTGGTGCAGCTCCGGGTCCCCAGACTGATTTGACAGAATCACGGCCAAGTGGGGCCTCCAGTCTCCCCACTGCTTGTCCCCACAGCACTGGAAAATAGCAGGAAAATCACAGAGACTCACAGAATCATTCAGTACCTGCCCAAAATGTAGGTAAAAAAGGCTGCTCTCTATTTTTGTGGTTTGGAGGAGTTTGGGAAATCCCCGTTATACTGCCTGCAATGCTGCATTTACTGATTTAGAGTTCTCTTTAAAAAGAAAAACTAGAAGGGTAAAAAGGCAGACAGATACCTACAGATATGTACATACATACGTATATACATAAGGAAGCTGGAGATAACTAATTTTCAAATTTCTTCCCAGTGCCTCCACCCCAAAGAGCTAGAGCCAGCACCCCGCAAAATAACACTCGGATATTTCAGTGGGAGAAGGAAGATCAAACGTCCTTATCTCACAAACAGAGGAGACAGTTTCAGCTCATCACAGAAGTCAGGATAACACCGGGCTGCTTAATCTCTTGCCAGATGTCTCCTGCTTTGTGGTCTTACAAAGTCCTTTTACATAAATCCTGTTACTTAACCTTCATAACAATCCTATGAAGTCTTAATTCTTATTACTCCTTAGGAAGCAGAAAACAGACCCTAAAGACCCAGCCAGGCAGCAGAGCCCACCAGGGGGCAGCAGAGAGTCAGTACAGAGAGAAATGAGAAGAAGCCCGTATAAAGGGTACTTCCCTGTGGGTTTGATGGAAGGCAGTACCTCCCCTAAGAGGAGAATTTCAAGGAGGACACTGTCTCTTGGAAAAACAACCTCATGTCATAGAAACAACCCAGGGTCTGGATTTGACTGGAGTCATGCCTCATACTAGCTGTGTGACCTTGAACACGGTTTCTGAACCTTTGTTTCCTCATCTTTAAAATGAAGATCATAATTTCTACGTAACAGGATTGCTACTGATAGTAAAATAAGATAGTGTGTAAAGCACATAGCATAGTGCTTCACACTTGGTTTGTCCTTTATAGAGAGGTACACACAAACACACACCCAGAGGACTATAAGCTTAGCAGAGGAAAAAAGTAATTTGCAAGCCTGTCTAACTGTAATTTGTCACATAGACGGGTAGAACAGGAGGTTGACCTTAACAGCTAACATCTGGAGGTCAAAACTATTCACAATTATTTAGTGTTTGTAAATATCTCAATGAATAAAGATGCTTTTGCCAACCTCATGTTCTATTTAATCCTTGTTTAATTCGGAAAATGCATTATAAACGGAGAAGAAGAAAGAGGCTCAAGAACAAGAAGAGTCACAACAGTCATGGCAGTTCTCATTAGCTCCATGGCTTAGACCATGAACTGTACCCTGTGCTAAGCCCTTCTCCCGCCAGCAATCACGCCTACTAGGTTCTACCCTTGCCCTCATTTTAACACATAAGCCAAGCCTCTCTGCTGGATCCAAAGGAACCAGCAGAAAAAATCCTTTTTTTAAGAAAAAAAAAAAAAAGAACACATATGTCTCTCTAGTTCTGTCCTACTCTAGGTGATTTGGGGGAAAAAATCAGTATATAATGATCTATGAGTAAAGAGAAAAAGCAAGGAAACATTTATGCACTAACATAAGTGGACCAAGCATGGTGATTGGTAGGTCTATATATTCTCTCTTTAATTTTCACAATAACTCTCTTGGTCATGTACCAAAATCTCCACAAATTTGAAAAATGGAGGCTTTGTGAGATTAAGTAACAGAACCAAGTGTGCACACTGATCAGGAGCAGAGTCTAGGTTAAATCTGTGATGAAACCCACATCCGTGTGTCCAGTTGCCACATCTGTGTGTCCAGTTGGAAAAACAACCTGATGTCATAGAAACAATATAGGGTCTGGATTTGACTTGAGTCATGCCTCATACTAGCTGTGTGACCTTGAACACACCACTTTTTTCACCACACCACTCGTCATATGGAACTAAGTCCAGCCTTTTATTAGATGTTAGCATACTAGACATTCTCGTACCCTAAGATCAAACACTGCATTGGTGCATCACTTCTGGCTCCTTGGTTTGCTCACCTAAAAGTACGGGAAGTTGGCTAACTCTACTCAGTGCAGTGACTCAGTGGACCATAAGCTGATTATATCACTTTATATATTTCCCACTTCATAACATGAAACCATTTCACTGCAGAGCACAGACATTTCAGCTGAACTGTGAGGCACACTCTATGTTTTAAAAATAGCCCATTGGCCGGGTATGTTGGTACATGGGTATAATCCCAGCACTTGAGGGGGTGAGACAGGAGGATTATTGTGAGTTTAAGGCCAGCCTAAACTACATAGTGAGACCCTGTCTCAACCCACTCCCCCAAAAATAAAATAGCCCATTGGTTTAATGATGAAGGCTGAAAAATAATAATTTCTCTTTTCTTGGAGTTATCTATAAGCAATATGAAGAAAAAAAAACACAAGTGTTAAGTCCATCTTCATTAAAACTAGTTATCAGAAAAAATCCAACTACAGTTCAAGAAAAAGGCTGCCAGAAGCAATGGAGATTGAATGAAGGTACATCCAAGAGGAAAGAGGGAGATAATGAAACAACTGCTTCTGTGAAGCCAGAGCACAAAGCTGAGTTTTAAAAACCTCAAGAAACATGATGGACAACAACAGGAGATAAATGTGCCCTGCACAGTTCAGGAAAGAAGTAGGACAAAAATCAAAGAAAAAAAGGCAAAAATGGGGGGGCTGGGGATTTAGCTCAGCGGCAAAGCGCCTGCCTGGCAAGCGCAAGGTCGTGAGTTTGGTTCCCAGTGCCAGAAAAAAAAACAAAAAAAAAAAAAAACAAAAACAAAAAGGCAAAAATGGAAAGGACACAAAAGGAAGAAACACTAGGGAAAATGAGGGTAACAGAAAATAGAAATAGGAAGGAAGGAAGGAAGGAAGGAAAGAAGGAAGGAAGGAAAGAAGAAAGGAAGGAAGGAAGAAGGAAGGAAGGAAAGGAAGAAAGAAGAAAGGAAAGAAGGAAAGAAGGAAGGAAGGAAAGAAGGAAGGAAGGAAGGAAGGAAGGAAGGAAGGAAGGAAGGAAGGAAGGAAGGAAGGAAGGAAATTCACATGTGTATGTATAGTTATATGAATTCCTAAAAAACAAAACTAAAATAATGGAATGAGACAAATATTCAAGAAAATTTCCCTGAACTCTGAGAGATGCATGCACATATTTAAAAGTCATGCTATATCCCGAGGAAAAACTGACCCAGTTAGCACCATGCTATATCCTAGTAAAGTTATTGGACTTCAAATATAGAGAAGGAATACTTCAGAGCAAAAAGATCACGTCTTCTATAATGGGAAAATCCTCAAGCTGGCCTCAGCCTTCTCCTCAACCACGTTCAACTCCAGAAGATATAAAGTCTGACTTGTCTGGCTCTGAAGGACAGACACACACCAGAGAAGTTCTTCCCCCAGGGAAAACGGGGTCAGCCCAGCTGTGAGAAGCCTGGAGATCAGCAACACTTCTTCAGAGAAGAGCAGACTCCCGTAGTACTGTGCAAGCCAAGGTCTTTAGAGTCAGACAAACCTGGGCCAGTTATGACCTGACTCCTTCCTAACTCCATGATCTTGAGCTGTTTTGTACCTTTCCATCTCAGTTTCCACATCTGAGGGGAAAATAGGGATAATAACTCCTACCTCCATGTATTAACAGAAATAATATGCATCAGAGCACTCAGCACATGGTAGGTAATTAAGAAACTGTTGTTACTCGTGTTTCACCTTGAAAGCCATCCTTGCATGCCTGAGAAGTCCCCACCCCACCCCCAACCCTTCCTGCAGATGATGGTGTGTGGAAGGAATCCTGCCCTAGAGGGTACCGTGGCTGCTTGTGGAATTCTCCCCGACATGAGCTGGAAGAGGGTCTGCAGGGGGTCGTTGAGAGCCAGGGTGCTGGTGAAGCTGCAGAGAGAAAGAACAGTCAGTGGGGATGAAGCCAGAGGTCTCAGCCCACTGCCAACACATAGGCCTTGCCTATTTCCACTTTATGTCAGTGGCTTCTTTTGGAATGTGATCATCTCTTTGCCCTCTGTTGTCCCTTTACATCCTCCTTTTGGGGAAAGCAGCAGCACCTTCGTTCCATCACAAGCACATTGTTTGGGGATATTTTCTGCAGTTCGGCCCTGGTGCCTTAATTCTGAAGTAACCACTTCTACAGGCCTGCCTCTGTCAACAAAATAACGCACGCACATCTCGAGCTCACGTGGAGCTCTTCTCCGGGGCCCTTCCTCCCCTGCAGCCCTCCTGCACACCACGCCCAAAGCTGTCGCTGTCATCTTCCTGGCTCATCACAAGCCCCGGTCTGCAGAGCTTTCACTGACAAGCACTAAGTGGCCATTTTCAATAACCAAAAAGGCGTAGAACAGGGACCATTAATGATCTTGCTGATGACAAACCATGGGATATGCTTAACAAGGATATAATAAGCTCTACAGCTGATTTGAGATTTAAGCAAACTCGGTAAGAGATATTTTTCACAATTCACTGGGCCCCATCAAAACTCAATGGCCCAAGGCAAAACTCTGTAGCAGAGATGTAAGCTACATGCTGGGGTCGTGGGATGTTCATTTTCAAAACCCAAGGGAAAATCGCCCCTCAGAACACCAGTTCTGAGTTAATAGCACCCTTGCCACAGGAGCTCAGAACACTCATCGTAATAGCACTCCTCAATTCCAGTCTCCGAGCATAATGAAGTGCTCAGCAGGCTTGCTCATCCCCCAGAACAGTGAAGGTGACAGTAATAAAGAGACAGCTGAGGCCATCCTGAAATATGGCCTCCCAGGCAGGGTGACGGCCACAAAGAGCACAGACTGAACTTGCAGTGGAGGGGTCCCTCTTCTCATCCAGCTCTCTGCCTCATGGGACTTAAGGCCAATTCAAACCTGAGTCAGGAGGGTAACCTCTGAGCCTGATCACACTCTAGAAGATAAATGTGTAGAGGTAGCATCCTTCTCGCAGTCCGACCCCAGCCTGCTCCTTACGGGAGAGACCCCATTCACCTCTGCCATTCAAAGTGCTCGTTGGAGCCTAAAGCTTATTCAGAAACCCTTCTTCAACACCCCCTGCCCACCACCGCCTCTCAACACTGATTCTTTTTCTCTGTGTGAGCCTTATCTGGTTCTGGGTTGGTTGCTCCTCTGAGTCCACTCTGGCACCTCTTCTACAGCCTCAATTGGCCCCCACCAAGACATTGACTTCTGATTTCCAGTCCTGTGAACATCTTTTGCTACCACAGCTCATGGTCCTGCTACCTGTATCTCCACCCACCTAAGCTAAGGTGAGGCACCACAGCAACGCTGAGTATCAGGCATTTACTTACTCCTAAAGCTCTATCAGTTGAACTTAAATACCCACCTATTCCTTCACTAATGGAACTATCTAGAAGGGCCCCTCCAAAGATTACTAAAATGCAGGACTTTGTTTTCAGAAATTCTGATTCTGGAGACTATGACTAAAATGTTTCATTCCACTTAGCAAACAGAAAGAATGCCTTTGACACTAGGCTGTAAGAATCTGCAGAAGAGAAATTCTGTCTGGCTCAGAAAAGAGAAATCGGAAACTGTTCGGAGTGTGGGCTTCTTTGTACAAGGTGCATTTTCCCCAGGCTGACTACTGCCCCAGCTTTGGAGGGGAGGCGTTTCTGCTCCCTTAGGCTCCTTTGCAAGTTGGACTCACCCACTCATGACCCAGTTGTAGGTCCTCGGGTCCATCTTGCTGGATAGGAACAAAGCATGACCCCACAAGTGGTTCTTCATCGCCCACTCCAAGGCCTCCTGGAAACCAGAACATCACATCCATTAATGCCTTGCCCAGCTTCCTCCAAAAAGCCAACAAATTCCCCAATGTAGGCGTCCCTGCACCCTCAGCAGTAGAGCCTCAGCTGCCAGGGAGACTTGGAGTCTCCTGTGTGCGTAGGAGGAAGGATGCTCAGAGAGGCAGATTCTCATCAGCATGGTACCTTCCTGCAGGTGGTCCACATCTGCAGCCATCCATTATGCTATTCCATTCCCTTCCCTCCAGGCATGGGTGTCGGACAGCCTTAACTGTCTAGCAGAAGTTACAAAATAATTACAGGAACCTATGTACCAAAAATGAGAAAAACTCTCATCCCACGGAATGAGGCTCAAGTAGGAGTAGTGAAAGAATCTTCACGAGAGGCTATTGAGGTAGAGTGCATTTTTTTTTTCACAACTGTGGCAGAGACTGACGGTTCCTTCCAAAATCCATGTTCTCCTTCCTGAACAAAGAGCTGCACCACATTTTCCCTTCTGCCTGGCAGCTGGATATGGCAGAGTCTAGGCCATGGAATGGAAACGGAAGTGCCAGATGCCACTTCCAGGTCTGGCCCATAAAACCACCCACACCAAGTCCTCCATGTGCTCTACCCATCTGGCTGCTGGAAGGGAGAGGACTCCCGGGAAAGCTCAGAAACTCTAAAAGGGTGGTGCTTCCAATACGCCTGAGTCTCACTGTATCATGGAGGGACTCATATTCTTACATAAATGGCATCCTATGTAAGCCAGTGTACACAGGAGTTGGCCTGCCTACCTAGTGCCAAAGCTAATTGCTGTTAACTATCAAATGCCTCTATAGGTCAAATTAGTAACACTATTAATTGAGTAAGATGAGCTAGAGCTACAAAATTTAAAACACACACACATTCACCTTTTAGTTCAATTTTCAGAATTATTTAGGAAGGACCAATTTATATGTAAAATTTTGAACTGGTGTTAATAAATTTCTTGGTGTCTGCACCCAAAAATGTGATTTATGGGTGGCAAGTCACTGGGGTAATTCCACCTCCAAGTTCTTTGATTACCCCAACATCTTCCATTGTAATCTTATTGGAGAGAGAAAGGGAAAGAAAGACAAAGAACAAATTTTTAAAGCAACAGTTGAAGAATTCAGCCTTACAGCCAAAGCAAGTAAAATATGACATTAAAGATTACTTTTTAAATATATTTTAACAATTTCATGGGTTTTTTATTTGAAAAGGGGGAAAGGGAGTTATTAATGCTTAGCTGGGCATCACCAGTTTATTCAAACATCTGCCCCTCCAAAAATGTTATTTAAAAATAAGTAAAGAAATTGAGAACTTACATTGAAGTGGTCAGTCTTGCACAATTCCAAAAATACTACCCTAGTCAAATGCGAATAGAGATTTTAAAGCTGTTTGTTATCCGGCTCCTCATGACTCACTCTGAACCCCCACAGTGCTCCTTGTACCCCTCACTCACTCACCTTTGGTGCAAGTGTGAAAGGAGATGAGGTAGGTGGTAGAAGCTCAGGTTCACAGTCAGGCTGCCTAGACCTCAGGCTCGGCCCTGTCACTTACTAACTTTCCTAATCTGTAAACACATGCAACAAGCATAGAACCTAACTTACAGAGGTTCTATGGAGATAAGATAATGCATGTGAGATGTAAAGCAAGTATCTGCCACATAGAAAACCTTTTTTAAATCTCTGCCTTTATTATTTCTGGAATGGTCATTGCTCACCTGTCTTAAAGGTAGACTTCATAATTGATTTATCTCTGTATGTCCCACTGAGTTCAGTGTCTGAGAAGTAGTAGCTTCTAATAAATGTTTATTGGATAAAGGAATCACAGGTAAAACTGTAATATATATATTGATTTGAAATGATTTTAATCATATATTAAATATTTTAAACTACAGTACTTTATTACTTTTCCAAAGCATCAGCATAACTTTAAAATTAAACTAGATTTTGTCTGTTAAATTCAGGCAGTCAATAATGCTAAGCACACCTGAGGTACAGTGACAGGAATATTACTTGTAAACAACATTTCTGAAAACTAATTTAGTGTACATATCAGGAAACATTTAAAATTGCATAGTCCATATTCCTTGCTCCATACTCAATAAATTCTACTTCTAGGAATCTATCCTTTAAAAAAATAATGAACATATCAGCCAGTGAGGTACATAATAAAATGTTCACATGCAATAATTTGTAATGGATAGCAGAATTGTAAGAAGCTTATATTTTCAACTATAGTGGATGGACTAATATATTTTTTCCTACTGGCACTACTTGTCAGAGATAAAGGGTTTGTGCGGCAGGCACAAGGCCCTGAGTTCAATCTCGAATGAAACGAAATGGTGCCATTAGAGCACATTTAAAGCCTTAGAGGTACTTCTCCACATAAATCTTAAATCCAAAAAGAGCAATAAACAATTGTACTTATAATTTCATTTTGATTTTTAATATACACATGAGTAGATGTACCAAAATATTAAGGTCTTATCCTTTACTAGTAGGACTGTACTAACTCTATATATAGGTGTAAATGGTAAAAACACCTACAACGGTGTTTTTATTTCCTTCCCCAAACCTTTGTGAATTTCCTTGATGCTCTAAAATGTACTAAAAAATAAATAAATAAAGTACAATGAGTATGTACCGTCCGTATAACTGGAAGAGGGATGAGTGGTGGGTAGGACGTGGTACCTTTTCTGAAACAAGCCTGGGAGAGGGGGATACTCGCCTTCTTTCTCCCATAGTAGAGCAGCTTAGTGAACTTCTCCAAGATCTGCTCGGGTGTGTCCACAGTGGGGGGGATCTCCCCAGTGAGCAGGTTGCGGGTCCCAGTATTCATCACAGGCCAGTGCTCATCGGTCAGGTGGATGAGGTTGGCCACAGGAGGCTGTCGCTTGTATTTCTCCAGTTTTTTGCAGTCTTGCATCAGCAGCTCAGCTATGTCAGACCCCACCATGGACTGCAAGGCAAAAGGAGTCATCCTGGGGGCCAGTCTCTTTCGCGCTCATGTTGCCAACCCAAGTTACAGAAGAAGGGTGCCAGGCATCTCCCTTCTTCCTAAGGAGGACAATCATGCAAACACAAGGCAGTCCTTTCTTGGATTGCTGTATTTCAAACGTCAGCTTTACTGTGATGGTGATTTTCTGCCTGTCAGGACCGATGGAGCTTAGTGGAACCATTCACAGCTTCCCGGTGGTATTATCTGACTAGTACAATAACCCAGGACCTGTACACTAATCCCCAGCCAGGGGAACTGTTCAGCTTAGCAAACTGGTGTTGACATTTGAGCAGTGTTCTCCCTAAGGACAATGTGTTGCTCTTTAACATTGCTTTGCACATCATACCACAACTAAATCTTATCTATCCCATGAGTACTTCAATTCCAGTCCAGCCAACACCTGTCCTCCCACCAAAGCAGGAGCTTACCCCATTCTGGCGACAAAGAAGAACTAGTAGTTGCCAAAGTAGAGCTGAGTCCCTGCTCCCTGGTGTCCCAGATTTGTGGCTCTGAGCTGCTTTCTGCTGGCAAAATGTCATAATATCCACCTTGTGTACATCTTGCCTGTGAAGAGATTTCAGGAAGCAGAGTGAGCAGACAGACACGTTCCCTGTTCAGGACCCAGGTCCCCTACAGTGTGTAGGTGCTGGCGGGGCTAAAGTTGAGAATACAGCCTAACAACCCAGGGCTGGATGGCACACCTCTACCCACAGGATGGTTATTCTCCTTTGAACAGGAAGGGACATCAGAAATTCTCTTAGACCCCCCCCCTCCATTTTACAGCTGACGAAACTGAGGACCAGACACTGGAAGTGACCACACAGAATATCAGGTAAAACTTTGGAATCTGATGACCCTGGGCCCAAATCTGGTCTGCCACTTTTCAGTTTAGACAAGTTTCTTACCTTCTCTGGTCCTCAGCTCTTTCTCCTCCTTAAATTAGGGATAATAAAAGAACCTACCTTTGTACAGAAAAAAATAAGCAAATAGCACAAGTGCAATAGCATAAGAGCAAAAATAAGCAAATGATACACATCAAGTGCTTCATAAATAGATATAATTACTTGCTCAATGTCATTCAATAAGTCAAGTCCAAGTTAGGGCCAAGTGCTTAGTACCCAAGGTAGTTCTGCACCCGCACCCATATACCTGCGTAGAAGACATAGAGACAGCACTCATTTTTACCTAAAGAAGCTTTCACATGCAATACAGGGATTTTCTTGGAAGGGAATCCTCAGGATAAGGATATATTTATATAGTAATGATGATATTTGAAGGGTTTCCACCTGCACAATTTCCCTTGACTCTCACTGCCATGGTGCGGAATGGGTTTTCTCAGGGGGAAAACTAATGTGCAGAGAGGACGAATGGACGTGCCCACCGTGGTAGCACAAGTTAGTAGGATGCCTGAACCCAGAAGCCAGGTCCTCTGACACTCAGCCAAGACTCAGGACAACAAAGGAACACTGATTTTTTGGTTGTTTTTTTAATCAGAAACAGAACTGGACATTTAAAAGCTGTTCCACTTTGGTCCTGCAGAGGGCAGACCTACACACTGTCCAGTAACTGGAAATGATAGTTATATCTCAAAAAAAAGGCACCGCTGCAAGAATGGTTTCATGTTGAGATCCACTCGCCAATGATTTCCAAGGCTATCCTCCACTTTTCCACTAGTATCTATGAAGTGCGTGAAACACTAAAACTTCCTACCATGTAACCTCTACAAAATGGAATCAATTTTTAGATTTCCAAATTAAGCTTATTTTTATTTCTGGTCTTCAAGTATCAAATAGTTTCTCAAAATAGCTCAGGCCACCTCGAGTTCTATTCAGCAGCACAGAGAACTCTGTTGCAACTGGGACAGACATTGTCTTCCAAGGAAACCTAGAACAAAGTCCCAGAGTACTGATGTGGGCAGGATGATTTTCCAGGTTTTAAGAGCCCTTACTAAGCAGCTCTTACAATAATTCACCTGATCAGGGGTCCTGAGAAACTTCTCATTTCCTCTTGGGCCTCAGAGTCATTAAGAATAACCTGAAACAGAAAATCAAATTGATCTTGAAGACTGTTCTACCCAGTGCCCCTGTATCAGATCTCAGGGCTGTGGCCCAAAGGAGTGGGTCTGCGTCTTGTGAGACAGCAGAATAACCAAAGGGAGTATCCCGTTGGAGATGAGCCACTAGCATCTCAGAGGAAACACAGCTCCAGCATCACTTCTTTCAGGAAAGAGCTCACCATTCCTGCATCCTTGGATCCAGGGGCCACATGGCCAATTCCTCACAAGAGTATCCCCTCTTGGAGATGCGCAGGCTCAGGCAAAGGGGAGAATGGAAGTATGTCAGGAGTAATTGGGTAATCAGTGTGCCAGCACTGCCGGTACAGAGCCTTGTTTACCTACCTCCATGCTATGCAGTTCAACAAGGGGCACCTGCCCATCCGTGGGAGAGCTGGGACACACACACACCAGCTGACCTCCTGGTCCAAAACTCACAGACACATGAGGGACGTAGAACTTCATGGGCGTCTTGGGACCGACTGCCGAGACAGCCCCTGACCAGTGGACATTGTTCACATTACTCACGCTGTTTTTCTTTAGTTTGGAAACATGCCACAGACATGTTTCTGTCCAAATTTCCCCTGGGGCCCAGATAAGACTCTAGGTGGGCTACATAATTAGAAGAAACCCATGATCCATGATCTGCTTTGATTTAAACCTCTGAGAATATGTCAGAATATAAAGCAAGGATTTGATAATTTGATCCAAATAATAATGCACCCAGCCTGGATTCTTATTAATAATAAGAAACCAAGAAGTCTCTGGCTGTTGTGACTTCTACGCCCATAGCAATCTCCTACAACAGACAAAGCACTTCTGCTTTGTGCCCTGCTGTTGCCTTTCCCGATTCTCTCTGGTTTTCACAGTCTCTGCCTGTTGCTAAAAGCATCCCTGAATGCCTCCTGGCCCAGCCTGAGAACCAGCTATGGTGCAACCTCCTTTACAAGAGAAAAAGTGGGAAGTGTTCACTTCTGAGAAGCAGCTATGGTGCAATCTTCTTTCTCTTTTACAAGACCAAAAGTGGGAAATAAAGCCAAAGTTGGCTTCTCTGCCAAGAAGACCTGCGTAAGAAAATGGGGCAATCATTCACTGCCACAAACACAAGGTAGAGATGACTCCCAAGGGGCTTGCCATCCAGCTTTTCCTCATTAGTTTCAACCAAAGACAGCGATCACTTTAGTACTCACCAGCCTGGACTGGACTCCAAGCTGCTGAAGCCACAGGATCATACTGCTCAGAGGCGTCTGGCATGTACTGACTGAGCTCATAGCTGCTGGAGCTGAGACCAGACTCACACTGCTGGAGAAGGTTGGATCTGCTGGTCAGTGACTGCTGAAAGTTAAAAAGCAATGAAAACGTATGGGAAGGAGTTTCAGGGAGCTGGTCCACTCAAGTGATTCTTCAGAGAAACAAGAAGCAAAGTCTGAAGGGCTGGGGATGTAGCTCAGTGGCACAGTGCCTGCCTGGTAAGCGCAAGGTCCTGGGTTTGATTCCCAGTACTAAAAAAAAAAAAAGAGGCTGAAGCTCCTGCCTACCATAAAAATGCAAAGTCCCCATTAAATACAGTGAATGTGGTTATGTTCAGTTGGCAGGGTTTTTGTTGAAGGATACATTACGGCCCAGTGCAGGCCCTGGACCTTAAATTCAGATCTCAACTTTGAATCCAACAACCTCCTCCTGTGACTTTGAACAAGTGACTTAAGTTACCCAAGCTCAATACCTTCATTTTAGATAAACACATTTGTCCTGTTGCTTAATCATGTGTTCATTTACCAGCTACATTATGAGCTGCACTATGCTCCTGGTACAGTGCTTCCCCTGGGGATATGGATATATAAGAAATTCATGGAACTTACATTCTGAAAAGATATAAGAAAAATAATGGATTCAAAACTCTTTGTACACTGAAAAATGCTATACACACATGCATGACTGCTGATACTGGCTTGTTGATATTCCTCACAGTAATAGATGCCCTACCCTGGTAAGTGCTACGTATACAGAGAAACTCACCAAACATCATACATAGATAATCAGGGAGAGAATATTAACACAAGACTATCAGACATTAAGAGCTCCTCTCCATAGTACCTTTGCAACTTTTCCGTAAAACTAAACCTTCTCCAAAATTAAAAATTTATTTAAAAAATTAAGAGCTCCATTTTGTGGCGCAGCTGGTACACCCATTATGATTTTAGAGGAAAGAGATGAAAGAGTCAGGAAGGATTTCAAGCCGTGCTTTTCAAACCTGAATTAAATGATTCTAGCAACTTTCCATTTCCTGGTTAAACCAAATTGCTAATGCCCTGGGGTCCCTAAACCCTAACACTTAGTGGCAGCCTCTTCTCAAGGTCAATTTGACAAAAATGCAAAAGGGGCAAGATCAGCACCTCAGACCCATAAGACTGAAGCAGGAAAGCAGGGAAGTGGGGGAGGTGCTGAGAGTGGAGGAGTAGAGTCCTGCAGACAGCTGGCCTCTGGAGACCCCCATCCCTAAGGGTCCTGCCTGCCACTGCTGACAGGGTCAGTTGTGACGCATAGCTAAGGGCCTCCAGCCCCATGTCACTTCAGGTTACCTTATTCTTTGGGGCTCCAGCTGGCAGATTCTCTGGAAGGAGTTCCCCGGGCTGTTCCTGTCCCAAGCTGGAAGCAGGGTTGTCTTTGTAAGTATTCCAGCTGGTAGAGCTGCAGAAAATGACAGCAGAGGTTAGACAGGTGCTGAGCCAGCCAGCAAAGCTGAGTGCTTGCCCTTAGAAGCTGCCCTGATTCTAAGGTCAGCACAGATGCCACAGGGAGAAGCACTTCTCTCCCATTCCCTACCCAATGTATTGATCCCAGAGAAACAGGCACCCCTGGGTTCTAAGGACAATTACTAGAAAAGTGGCCTCAAATCCACAGACAAGAGTTGGTCCCCGCAGTCTGCCAAATGCTTAACATGTTCATGATGGGGCCATAATTCTGATGTTTCACAGCCAGCTGGCTCTGAACCCACTGGTGTACCTGCATGACTGTCCCATCAGGCAGCTTGTACCACCAGGACTGTGCCACGCAGTCTGATGCATGTACCACCAGTGGTTCAAGTTGATGGAAACATGTTAAATGAGAACACTTGGGTTGGTGAATTCTGGGCTAAAGAACCACGTGTGCTTGGACAAAAATCTCTTCCTTGCTCTGCCTTATGCCAGGGTCGTGTTCCATCTAGGGGTCCACAAGTGGGCAGAGGAGAAGCACTCCAGTCCCAGAGGAGAAGCACTCCACCCCAGTCATAAGGACTTTGGCAAGACTACATCCATTCTGAGGCTCACATAGGATTAAGAGCTCCAGTAGCCTCACAGGACACTACCCAGCCCTGGTTGAAGAGCAAGAAGCTCCTCAGAGATAAGAATCTGTCCTCCCAGGGAGAGATATACAGCAGACCTGGGCCATCCTGGGCTACTCCCATGTCTTGTGGCTATAACAAAAGCAGATGGGTTAGTAGAGGTGAGGGATCACCGCCAGGTACCTTAAGATTGGCCTAAAGGAGTCAGAGTTGAATGAATTTTGTCAAACTGGCCTCTCCTTTCACACTTACTGGAACTGGGTCTCATGATTTGCTCCAGATGGACTATTCCAGTTTTCATGATTATATTCACTGAGGTATTTTTGATCTCCATGATCTTCATGCCAGACATAAGGACTCCCCTGCCTTGGTACTGCACCCTCAGAGAAAACAAAACAAAGCCAGGTCACTTGTTGTTTCTGAAGTTCTTTCAGAAAGACACTAGTGAGCTGTGAAGCAGTTATTGGAACACAGTAAGTACGAAAATGTATTTGCTCTGGAAGCTGGAATAAGCTCAGTGGCAGGGTGCTTTCCTAGCTTGTGTTACATACTAGTTTGATTCCTAGCACTGGATAAAAATGCCAAATCAATGAGTCAGAGCTGACAGCACCTCTCTGAGCCAATTAGCATGGCTCTATCCATGTGCTCAATATTGGGGATCAGGGTACATGTGGGTGTGGGTGAGTGGGTGTGTATTCAACACTGAAACAGATTTTCCTTTGTTAGCTGGTCAGAAATTGCCATTAGCCCACACCTGTACCTGTCAGTACAGGGTATCAAACTCCTGTTGGTGGTACATGACTGCCACTGGAGGGTGAAATGATAGATGCATATCACAGCCCAGCACACATCAGATGCCCTTAAAAACTGACTTCACTGTTACTTCATCAGTAACTATAACCACAGCTACGAGGAAGAGGCAGAGGAAAACATGTAGTGCAAGCCATGCACACTACGGTAACACCACCGTAAGTTTCTGTACCGTCATCACATGCGAAGGGAGGCCCTTTCCTCTCTTCTCAAGACATTAAGGAGCAGGCTCTCTGCTGGTGTCTCACCTGCCCAAAGGGACCAGTGGCCTCTGCCCTGTCTGTCAGGCCAGCTGCCCCCCACCCAATCCCGAAAGGCTTCTTGGAGATAATTCCACACCTCTTTCCTCCTGCCGCCGTTTCAGGTATCCACGGTAGTAATAATTTCCATAAACGTATTCATCCCTCAGTGCTGGAGAGTAGTATCTCTGATAGGGATCCTCGTAGCCCGCCCTACAATATTACAAAAAAGTTCAGCCATCTGAGGATGAGTACAGAAGCGAAAGAAAGCAAGGAGCACTGGACAAACTCAACAACCTCAGGGGCCACCCAGTCCAGAATCTGCCTGAACACCACAGTTCATTCTGAGCCCTAGAAACAGAAAATCCAGGATCAGAACAAGAGGAAGAAAGACCCTTGTTAGTTACATAAAAAGGCTGTGATTTTTATTGTAAAACAGTAAAACTCTTTTTTATTTAAAACTCTTTTTTTAAAAAAAAATCTATGTTTTAATTTAGAGCTCTTTTTTTAGTAAAACTCTTACTTCTCAAATATACACATCCACCAATACTCTGCCCAGATATTATCTGAGAAAGCCCTTCCAGAGAAGATTGTAAGAGCCCAATATGTTATTAAAACTTCCATCCACATTATGTATAGCAATGAGATGGAAAAGGTCAAGTTAGACTTTCTTATATCTGATTATTTTTATTGCCTCTGTCCTTTATATGCCTTCCTTTGAAAATTCAGCAACCCAAAAAGAACAAGGAAATAAACATCATGTTGTTAGTATTAATAATACTTTACCAGTTCAGAGGCAAAATTCTGTATGGTAATTATCAAAATTTCAATGCTAAATCTGTAAGTGCATAAATGTCATCCTAACTGGAAAAGCTAGAGTAGAACATAAATGGCTTCCAACATTCCGTGAGATATTTAGTCCAGAACTATTGATTAGAATTCTGCAGGGTCAGAGAGGAATTCCTACTTCTCCAACCTAGAATTATAACGCTGTGGCCTCTTCTTTCTGAACATAAAACCTGTAGATCTATATCTACCTTTGTGAGGCAGATTTTCCTTAAAGTTCTCATTCATTTAATACATTTATAGTGTATGGCCTACCACACTCCAAGAACTATTCTGGGCACTAGGACACTTTCTGGTGGTGACAGTGTTATGCCAACACCAGAGCAGTGTGGCCCAGAGACAATAAGCAACTTATTATAGGGTCCTAAAAAATAAGAAAATCTTTTCCTTAGTCTACATACATGGCCTCTTGCAACCTCAAAGCAAGAAGTTCCCATTTGTGGTCTTGAATTTCTACCCTCTACTCCTCCCCTTGTCCCCAGTACCAGCTGCTTTAAGAAGCTCCTGGATAAAGAGGAGGAAAATTCTATCTTTGGTCTCCCGGGAGAAGACAGGCAATATAGTAGAGTGGAGAAAGAAAAAGAAGTGAAATTAAAAAAAACAAGAAAGAAGGAAAACAATGATCTGTTGATAAGCATCTAGGAGAGCGGGGTCCGTTCCAAGCCCTAAATCCATACCTGGAGTATACGTGAGTGGGATAACCCCCTTCATAGTAGTCAACTCCAGACGCAGGATGAGGCCATTGCCCAGGCCTGGATGCATAGTGGGGCTGCTGGTGGTCTGCCCTGGGGTCCTGCTGTGGCTGTGGACTCCCACGGACATCTTGCCATTGATAGAACCTTTCTCCATTGTGTCGAAGGTGAGGAATGGGCCGATGATGTCCGCCTCGAAGCCCTTGGTCTGAGTCCTTTGATGGTGCTGTGGGTTTCCCCTGTGGCTGAGACGGCCGCTGGGGAACCCAAGGTTCCATCCCGAACCTCTGAATTTCTCTTGTGTTTTGAGCAGTTATGTAGTTATTTTATTTTCCTGCACACACACAAAAAAGGACAGAAATCATCATTTTAAGCTTATATCCAAACATGATGGTTGATTAGGTTTTGTGGTCCTCAAAACCCTGTGTACAGCAAACCTTATGGGCACAAATATAGAAAAAACTGAAAAAAAAAAAAAAAAAAAAAAAAAAAACTTGAGCAGATATATAAAATAAATAACAGGCTCAGCAATTATATCGATGTTGCTTAAGAGATTAAAAGTACATATGGAACAACAGATGTGGGCGGCATGGGAGACAGATAACATTAATAGATGCAGCTACAAAGTGCTATCAAGGAATCCTAATTAATGTTTCTTGATTTATCCCACCAGCAAATATTTATATAACACTTACTATGGGTGTGCTGAAGTATCATAGAAATAGAGTTGGCCTTGGAGAGAGCTAGAGCAGAGTTCAAGTCCTGACTGTGCCACTTACTAGCTGGCTAATTTTTTTAAGCCTCAATTTCCATACCCATAAAATGGAAATCGTAATCACTACTTTGTAGAGTTACTGTCAGCATTAGAGAGAGATATGGAAAGTGCTCCCAAACATTGCCTGGTATAAAGAAATTATTCAATGAATACTAATAGTTTTATCAGAGATAAAGTTTAAGGTGCTCTGAGTAGCTGGAAGATATTTCCTAAACAGACAAAAGCTTCCATTTGCCTCTCAAAAGACACATTTTTTTGAACCCTTACATTAACCTTCTTGAAGAATGAGACCCTATAGTATAAGCATTCCTCTTCTGGACAGCCAGTAGATGTGAGCCTGGGATTGTGGGTGTGAGAAAATAAAGACCTAGGTCTGAAGAGTTCTTCCTAGCTGGAGATTTTCAAAGCTAAAAATCTTCCTTGCATTAAGGAAGAATAAGGAAAATTAAACAATTTTCCCCATTTAGTCCTCAAAATGGGAAGTAGCTGCAGGGACTGATGACCTTCCAAGCCCCTGTGTCCATCTCATCAAAGAGCCGCTGCAGAGGAAAGCAGGCTCAGACCTTTCTCCTGTTCAGGGAGCCGCTAGGGCATTAGCTCACACAGACTAGGCCAGCCCCGGCTTTCTTCTTCCTTGGGAACTACCTTACGTTGCAAGATTCTGATCAAATCTATCAACTTGTTCCCATTCCTGAAGCTCCCAGCATCATCTAAAATAGATCAATCAGAACAAAAGGTCAAAAGGGTATGTACCCAAACCAAAACATTGCTGTGCTTAGACACACAGAGCCAGGGTCTGGCGCTATGAGCCAAGAGCTATGAGGCAGCAGAATGCACAAGAAGAGCAGGGAGCAGCTACCTTCCACCTTCACATCAGCCGCAACCCAGGAGGCCCAGGGAAAGTCAGGTCACTTTCTCAGAAAAAGCCAGATGCGATGAGAGCCTCTGTCAAGCAAATTCCAAGAAAGACCCAGAGCCCCAGATTGCAGGGCAAGGGAACGTGGGCTTTCCTAAAGACTAATGCCCTAGCGGCTCCCTGAACAGTTTCCCCGGGAAACTCGGCTCCATTGGGACACAGGTAAGCAGAACCAGAAGAGAGCTGCTTTCCCTTTGTCTCGCAATTTTCACCAGCCAGCTCATCCCTGACCACAACAGCACAATGCCCCATCTCTTCACTGGAATCACATCATTTTGTTGCCAAGACTCACCAACTCCAGTAGGTTAGACCTCAGGCAGTAATATATCAAATTGAAAACACCTAAGATTCTCCGAATGAAGGAACTCTATCTATAACGACAGAGCAAGCACACTCCAGCATTCACACAGGTGATCTTCCCTGGCCCCAGCAAAGCCGATGGTGCCTTTTCTAATCTGCCAACCCAGCAAGCACAGCTCAAGGAAGAGAAAGAAGCAGCTAGCTTCCCCACACACCTGCTGCGGTGGCTTCCCACCGTCCTTCACGCCACTCCAGGGACGTGCCCAAGAGTGCCTCCTCTCCTCCAGAAGATTGTCAAAGTCCAGGTGCCACATCTACCAAGACTCACCTGGCCCTCAAATCCATAGCCAGTTAATTACCTTTGCAACTGCCAGGCCTCCATGGAGCTGATTCATGAGGGCAAAGTTCAGCCCTGCCACCTCCAGCTGGGACAGTTTTGATTTGACGTATTTGCTCAGCACCTTGTGAGAGGCTGGTGCCTCTGTTTGCCTGGCTGTGGGCTGAGCCAGTCACTCACAGGGGAACGCATCCAAATCCCCACAGCAAACAAGGAAGAGAGACACCAGAGAGAGGAAACCCAGGAAGCCCTGAAGGCAGCCTGGTCTAGTGAGAAAAGCTCGACTTTGGGATGTGAACCTGAGGCTCCACCCCAGACTGCTCCTATGATGCAATTTCTCTGAGTCTCAGTTTCTTCTTCTTTAAAATGGGAATAATAATAACACTTAACTTATGACAATCACCATGTGGATTAAATGTTAGTGAAGCAGCACATGATATGTAAAAGTATGATCTTTTCCTTTCAAAAGAGCTATTTCCACTAATCCCGTTAGTGCGGTACTCACGGGTGAAGAGTAAATACCTTGATTGCCTGGTATGAGTTTTTCTCTCTCATGTTTCTCTCCAGCGGATTCTGATTGTACAATCAATTCTGTTATCAAGCTGGAAGGAAGATTTAAAGACTCAATATTGAACTAGTGGTATTGAAAATTTTTCTGTTATAGCACGAAAGTAATTTTTCACATTTGAAAAATACATTTCTTCAGCATTAAGATAAACAGGGAGAAGCGTATGCCCACATGCATGCATATTTTAAAAGGCTGTCTGCTCTTTTATAAGCCCAATAGTCTATTTTTTCTTTCAACAAACTCTTTACTGACTTCCTGTTATGTGTGAGGATCTGACACACATAATATGACTGACACCATTCTTGCCTTCAAAAAATTTAGAGCAAATTAGCCTATATGTAATGGCCACTCCAGGTAAAGCCACCACTGTTGGGTCTCATGGTGAAATAAGTAATATAGCTGAGCCTTAAGATTTTCTCTCAGTCCCTCGTCTGACTCCTTCTGCCTAGCAACCAACTGTAGAATTCTCAGACTCCAGGTAATGGGTTCTTACCTCACTGCTAGGACATGAAGTTTGGCTCATGAATGGCTGCCCTGCTGTTTTTAATCCTTCTGGGAAAAGACCCTGAAAAAGGACACAAACAATGACAGTAGGAATCAAAACATAGTTGATGATAATACATAATATGATTATGACCTGAAATCAAATTATGTGTTCTGAAATATCACAATGTCAGTCATAAAAGTCTGATCTAATTCTTTTGGCTTATAACATGACATTAGACTTAAATATCACCTGCATTGTTAGAAAGCTAACTTTGGAAAGAAGCTGAGAGGCTATTTTAGCCACTCCACTTTTTTGATGATAAAACTAAAATCCACAGAATTGAAGTAATTTACCCAAGATCACAAAGCTAAGCAGAAACCCAGTGAGAATTACACTGGTGTGCTCCAGCTGCCTTCCACAGGGTTTGAAAAAGCTGATCATTAAATATTCAGGAATTGTATGAGCCAGTTAGTAAACCACAGGTAATCTGGAACCTGCCATGGTGGAAATAAATATTCACACCACAGAAACGGAAAGAAAAATACTACAAAGCAAGCTTGTTGTTGTTTGTTTGCTTTTCAGAAAGCCAGTTTACCAGCATAACCCTTTCATTCCTAAATTGATGCTCCTTCAGTTACAGAATTGTCATTCTGTTACTAGCCTTCAGTGCACATTTCTAGTTTAAATATCTGCCCTGGCTATCCCAAATGTTCCTTTTGTGACATCCCAAAGCATCTCTAATTATCTCAAGAGTTATTATAAAACTCTTCAAACACTCACCAACCAAAATTAATTTTAATTAGTTTTAATTATTTTAGGTAGATATATGGCACACAACAGTTATATAGGTCACAGAATGAAATAGATTGTGGTGAGATTTCACCACTCCAAAGCATTTGGGATTTAGCAATCCCTCCCTTCCTCAACTGCTTGCATCTACAGCTGCTAAATCTTTCAGCCTGGTAGTTCAATTCTTCCTGCGTTCTACACCAAATCTTCTCATCTAAACAAAACATTAGAAGTTCAGTCCCACCGGAAGACAGGCTAGAATCAGTCTTGCCACCCTAATCTCTCTTTGCAGTGCTCTTGCATGATCTCATGAGCTCCTCCAGCCCAAACAGCTATATTCCTCCCACTATCCTGAGATAGTGTCCTACCATCATGTCTGAGTCCTGCTCTGCATCTTAACTATTGATCAAATGAACCAAACCACTCTATCTAGGCTCCTACTTCAAATAGGACTAACTGCCCGCCACAGGGTGAATGTCTGCCCTTCACCTCAAATTCATAAATTGAAATTCTAACTCCAAATGTGATAGTATTATGATATAAGAGTTTCAGCAAGTAATCAGATCGTGAGAGTGGCACCCTTGTGAATGAGATTAGTGCCCTTATAACTCCTATAGACATTACGCAGGACAGCTTCTTCCTGTCTTTCTGCTTTCTGTCATATAAAGATACAACAGAATACAGCGATTTGCAAACCAAGAAGCAGGTCCTCATCCTACAATGGGTCTGCCAGCACCTGATCTTACACTTACAGCTCCCAAAACTATGAGAAATAAATTTTGGTTGTTTAAGCTACTGAATCTATCGTATTCTGTCATAGCCACCTGAACTAAGATATTATCCCAGTCTGACATCTTTCTAACAATAATATCACTGCTGATGATGTGATTAGTCTGTAGCCAGCAGACTAGTGCTGATGAGTGTGACTATCCACCTAAATCCAGGGCAGATTTACCAGGAATCCTTGAGCACCATAGACAAACACTAAGAGAAACAGTATTTTTAATGGAATAGGGTCACATGAATTGATACTCTGTTGACTATAGAAGGTGAGGCAAAAGGAAAAGTCAAGGATAATCCCAAGTTTTGGGGCTGTGAAGATGAAAACACGGGGTCTGTTTTGGATGGTAATCTTGGGAGAAGAGCCAATATGGAGTGGGGAGAAATAATGTAGTCAGTTTGGGTCATGCCAAGTGTGAGGGTCCTGTGGGACACAGAGGCAAGTGTGCTCAGTATGTAGTTGACTATAATGGTCTAGAGACCAAGAGAAAGGTCTAAGAAGAGAAGTGATGATGGATAATACTGCCAAGAAAATCTTAGAATTAGAAGACAAATCCAGGAAGGAATCCTGGAGAGCACCAACATGTAAAAGCTGGACATAGCAAGAGGAGCCTGTGAAAGGTACTGAGAAAAGTCAGACAGATAGGCAGAGAACCTAGAGAACAGTATCCCAGAGACCAGAGGAAATAATGGCTTCAAAGATAGGAGTGTAGTCAACAATGCCCAAATTAGGAGCAATGCTGAGAAAGGCAACAAATAAAAGCGACTATACTCTAGATCCAGTGGGATTTGACAAGCAGAAGGCTTGGTGAACTATTTCAGTAGAGCCAAGGTCAAGGGAGTGAAGGACTAGACTTAGAATTAATAGAAGCAAATGTTAAGTAAGGAAAGGAGGCAATAACTACAAATTACTCTTTCTACAAGTCTAGATATGAAGAAAAGGGCTAAGGCTCCTGTGAGGCACTCAGGTTTGAAAAGCTGGTGTAGGGTAGACAAGAGAAAAGAGTTCTGTACTGATTGATGTGGACGGATTAGAGATACAGAAAAGAAACATAGTTCTTGAAGGGACAAATCTCAGAGAGACTGGTCCTGTGGAATCTAGCGTATGGGGAAAAAAAATCAAATCTCACTAAGAGGAGGAGTCACTATTCCTCTGAGAAAGGGATAAAGAAGGTGAATGCAAGGTTAGATGGAGGCAAATTTGCAAATGAAGGAAGCAGAAACAATTCTCTGCAGAGTAGAATTTCAAGTTTCACTGGATATCTTGGGCATTTGGTGAAGAACTTGAGAGACATCGTGTAAGTGTAGAACGGTCAATGTGGAAACTATGAATCAGCCTCAGTTAAGAACATGGCCTCAAATAACAAGTGGACTAGAATGTGTCCATTATTAGATAGGTAGGCTGACTTTAACTTTAACCTCCACAGAGATATCAACCTTTTGTGCTTGGTTCCATGCTATATCCGCAGTGCCTAACACAATGCCTGGCGCATGGCAACAGCTCAATTTATAAACACCTGGAATGGATAGCAGCAACAGCTTGCACTATATGACTGTATCCTATTGTTTTCAGGGTGTGAATATGGAATTAAACTGTGAAAAGGAGTTTCCAGAGAGAGCAAAAGAGAATATTGAGGCACTGAGCTGAGGGGCTGGCCACAGAGGGGATAAAAGGATCTCAAATGGGACACAAATGAGACAGAAACAGACGCAAATTATCTACATACCTTGTTAAGTCAAATTCCCTATCTAAAATTAAGAAACACACTCCAGCAGTACAATGAAATAAAAACATTACTCCATAATAGTAATTTTTAAAACTCTCAGCCAAAGTGGGAGCGACTGGGTAATCTCCACACCTGCATTTTCAGCCCTATCTGATGCATTATGACTCTTTTCAACCCTCACGCATCTCATTGTCTGACTCCAAGAAGGTGTCGAGGGGGGAAGGCTCACTGGGGAGCAGCCTCCTGACTCCCAGCAAAGCCATGCCCCGGAGCCCATCTTGGAGACATGCATCTTGTGGCCTCAACCAGTAATTGGCCACCAAAACTCTCACCCTTCCCTCAGGTGAGCCGTGTGGCAGCCAAGATTCAAAGCAGCATGTGCAATCAGCAGTTCCAATTATCAGGACAGGGAGTGCCAGAAAAAACAGTGCCAAAAACAGTTAGCCTGGCACAAGTACTATAAGCCTCCAGTGCCAGTCCTAGGACTGTTATTCTTATGGCAGTCGTAGGAGTAAGGGTTTGGGCACGATGCAGGATTCCTACATGACCAAGGAACTCTGTGGATAAGCCTTAACAAATGACTGCTTTAAGAGCTCCCTACCTGGATGCCTGTATTCACCTCTGCTGCCAAGAACTACAGAAGAGCTTTATCATTCAAGAAGAATGACCCCAGGCTTCCTTCTCAGCCCTGGGTGGCAAAGAGAGCCTGACTTCTCCTTTCTTCATTCCTCCCATTTTATTGGTTTCCCCTGAACCAGGATGAGCAGGGTAGCAGATGAATGCTACTGTGACTTGTGACCCCACATCAAGCTCCAAGTTGCAGAGGTGACTCACACACACACACCTGCTAAATGAAATAAAGGACCTTTGGAGTGTTCTGCCAGTTGCACGTGAGGATGTACATTTCCTGGAGGAGAGGTACAACTTGGTGATCCTGGAATAAGGCTGCCTGGATAAGAATTCCAGCCTCCCTATCTGGTGGCTATGTGAACTTGCATAAATTGTCTGTGTGTCCTTTTCCTCATCTGTAAAACTGGGATAATAATAGGGCCTCCTACGTCACAGAGTTATTATAAAACAAAAATTATGTTAAAAACATATAGAAACTTGCCATGTGATTAATGCTCAATAAATGCTAATAGTTACTAGTACAAGGAGTACAGTGGGGGCTGGGAGACTACTCAGTTGAGTCCGGACAGCACACCAGCGCCACTCCTCATTCCATTGTTCCAAGACAGGCAAAAAATAACAAAGACCCAGGAAATACTTGAAGCTCTAGGTCAGAGCACGCAAGAGCCCAAGCTCCTTAGATCTCCTGGCCTCACCTTTATTCACCTTTTTCCTCACTTGAACTTCATTAAAGGTTCATAAATATGGACTGCATATCATGTTTATAATTAAACGATAGTGAATTCTGGGAATGTCCTATACAATAGAAGCCCCTGAAGATGACTCAGCACCCTGTCAATCATTCCTGTCACTCTTACCCCAAAGGCCAAATGACAGGCACAGGGATAGGTTGTACATTTTTTAAACTGTGGCAGCCTGATTTATCTGTGTGCTGTGTACTTTTTACTTTCCTGTCATCCTGATACCATTTTTCTGTTCATTGCTTGTTTTTTCTGGCATGGTCTTTCCCTGATCATGTCTTCAATAAATGTAGCTGCTTCTCCTTTACCATTTGATGTGCACTTGCAGTTCTTTGTTGTACACGAGAGCCTGGAATTTATCTGTCAGATCCACCACATGATAACAGTTATCATTTCCATGGGTAGTGCCTAC